TTCTGTCGGAGCTGCCTGCGACGCGCTGATGAGATCCAAAAAGATCGAAATCGCGATCCGCGTCTGGCAGTTTCGACAGAATAGAGACCACTTCGAATTATTTTATTTTATAGTTACAGTGTTACGAAATTTAATAAAATCACTTCCATACGAATAAATTCTATATCAACATATACATTAGTAGACAAACTTATGAATTCATTTTGAAAAATTTATAGAGAAAAGGGAGTACATATACGAAATGAGTAAAATTGTCGCACTTGTCAGACTGAACGAAACGCATGAAAATGGTATGAATTATTGAAAATATTTAAATGACAAATAAGTATGTAACCTATAGAATAACATCATGTATAATTCGAATTTAACATTTATAATAGTAAAGAAACACAAAAAGTATTAATAAGTATTATTCAAATGTACCTGCTTCATAGTCACGTCTATAAAAATCTTCCAATTCGCTCATCATCGATCATATGTCTTTTCAAAATAACTCCGTTATTACTCTCTACGCCTACAGACATTCTGGAATACGTGTTTTATTGCAAATAACTACATTATTGCTACTTTGAAATCAGAATTACATATTTGCACTTTCATAGACGAATCTGTGTTTTATGTAACTGTTTGTGTAAAACCGTTGTTATAAAATATGCATTAAATTTTACGAAAAACTAGGATGATAAAATCTTCTTAATGTACCTATTACCACCCACATTTTTGGAGTTACAAAATTAAAATACGAACGTTTTCGTAAATGAGTAAATAATACAGTGTAAACTCCCTATAACGCAATTCAGTTGAGTATTTCTTTTCGTAATAAAGGGTTTTATTTATATAGTTTATAAAAGTTTCTTTTTGATATAGTTTAATCAGCCAATTAGTAATTAACCAAATACCTGCAATTCAGTACTAAATAGCAAAAGTACTAATTATACAAGATAAAGTGGTACCGATACCTAATTAAGATCTGTAATATTGAAAATAAAGAAAATTGAATATAACCCATGGAAAGTTGGATCAAACGTATATAGTCCTTAACCCATATTTCTGATGCTTGATGTGTATTGTTTGTATCATTTTATTTGCCATTTGAATGTGACTTCAAAACTAATAAACAGTCATTTGAATTTGTTTAATTTGGTTCATCATAATAACTATCATTTATGTATGAATCTCATTTTAGTGAAGTCGGTCCACCTTTTCAAACTACATACTTTGTGGATTTACGAATTTATGTCATACCTAATGAAAAAAACCTCCCTTAAAAATGAGTTTGACTGTAAGTTTTGTATATGTTTTGTAAATATTTTTAAATCTGATTAACAAAATCAAGGTGGTTGTGGATCACTGTTAATTGCGAGAATTGAGAAAGACTGCTGATTACGTAATAAATGTTACTGATTATTAAAAGACATTTTATTTTTTACTTTTTAAGGGCTCCACTAAATTTTGAAATTTTTTACAATTTCCGGGAATTATTGGGAATTTTAGGTTGAGGATTCTCGAGTCTCAAGAAAAAAAATAGTCGAAAAATAAGGAACCGTTGTAAATAGTGATGTTTTGAAACAAATGATGGTAACTGTTAACTGTTGTAGTGACATTTTAAAGATTATTTGGACAAGCCTACAAAATCGCTGATTGAAGGTATTTCTTCAATATTAAGAATATAAAGAGAACATTGTTTTTGATACGGCCCAAATCATTTTTTAATAATAAATAATAATTAAAACTTTAAAATTGCATTTATTTCAGACAATTATAAATATT